CCCCCCCCCCCCAAAGCCCATCCCTTTACTCAAAAGCCAACAAAAACTTTATACATGTGCCAATTGTGAACTCGAAAGCAACTGTGACTGTTCAATAAATACCAATTGAAAAAACCCTCCCCCCATCCTCACCCCCAACCTTGGCTCCTGCATTGTGTATAGTGTGTATTCTGTGTTCATTATCATACTGATACTAACAGTAATCACATCTCTCCATGGTTTGAAGGCAGCAGTCCCCAAGCCTCATTGTAATGTACAGTAAAACAGTACCTGGATGATAACCACTGCTATTCATAATTATTTAAGATAATGTATAAGTTAAGAATATGGCTGACATTTCAAATCCTGGACTATCAGTTTCTGATCATTTGGGTGACACATTGGAACAGGCATTGGAAACATCTTCACTACAGTTGCAGCAATAAATAGATGACAGTTTTTCAGAATTTTGTCATAATCATTTATCAATTACAGTGAACTTTGCAATGCTATAAAATCTACAGCAATAAAATGACACGATTCAAATTTGCATGGGTTTTGAGAAAATGAACCCATAACCACCTTATTATTCTATTAATGACGAATCAATAAGAATTGTTGAATAAAAAAAGGGAAATTAGGCCAAAGGTGGGTTATGGAAAAAGGTCAGTCCAGGTCAAAGGTCATGAGATCGAAGATAAACAGCAGTCATCACTTTTCTCAGAAATACTGGAAATTGCTGTTTTTAAATCAAATTACTGAGCAAGAGAGTCAGTCTCATGATGCTGGCACTAACAGTTGATGGAAAAAAAATTAATAAATGTTTTACACACACACATCAATGGTATATTTACTTAAAAATCACTCTTCATGATGACAAAAAGAGGTTGTGACACAGCTCAGGAGAGGACACTAGGACCAACTGACATACTGTTTTCAATTGTAGCCAATAACAAAACAGATGAAAGTGGAACCAAAAAGTTGACAGGTGGCGGGTCTGGGGTGCATATTTACAACACCCAATTTATCCATATTTCCAGACCCAGAAAACTTAAATCTCTACAACTAATAGATCTAGTCAAGTATATCATCGATGTTATTGTGACAAATAAAACATGGGTAAATGTAATCACTTGTTGATTGCTACAGACATATAAAATCAGAGATCAATCCTCACAGATCACTCAAATGTATAAAAGCAAGCTAAGAGTTGTTGTGCCTTCTTTGTTTCCATTCAGTTTTATCTGTAGATGAGTAAACCCCTGGTAAGGGTCATAACCTTTCAAGGTCATATCCTCAAGGTCATGACCTTCCTGTAAAGGTCATATCCTCTTCAATTTATCTTTATGATGGCTATGGTATCCAAAATAGTAAATAAATGAATCCATAATTGTGCATCACTGTGGCCCAGCTTTGACCAGAGGCATCATACTTTTTAATTTATAAAATCACATCAAAAATGTTCCTTCAGTTTAACTGTGTTATCCACAGCATCCTCAATAATTTCTGCTGAAATATATGTCACTTGGCAGCCGAATAACACTGAAGGTCAAGCTTCAGGTCAAGGTCATGACTCCTCTGGTCAAGGTCATGACCTTTAAGGTCAAGGTTATGACCTTCCTAACAGTAAAAATTATACCAAAAGTCAATTGCTGTGTTGTTTTTTTCTGTCAAGTGAATTATAAACTGTGCCAAATCAAACTATCAATGGGCAACAATCTGTCACAAAACCAAGCCTCCAGCGAAGACGGTGAAATTTCAAATTGTGTCACAAGTCAAACTGGTGTGTCTCTTTCCCTTCTATTGCAGCTATAATACAATGATAACCAAACTCAAGGTGAGTTACAGTTATCCGGAACATGTGTATATATATAAATATATTTAAAAAAAGATATCAAAAGTCCCTTTGCCTTCTCTTTTTGGCATCTATTGCATCTAAAATGGGCTGTCTCTTTGCCTGATAGCGTTTCCGAAGCTCTTCAATCTCACGCTCCATCTCTGGGTCTAGCGTTTCCCAGCGCTTCTGTAGTTCATCAAATGTGAGGTTTGATAGCTGAATAGAAAAGATACAATCATGAACATAACTCTAAAAATCTAGCTTATTCTTTACTTCTTATATACCATGGCAGACATTAAGAACAAAAGCTCTACCTCTTTTCCTGTATGGGAGGGGTCAATGACTTTAAAATTTTTTTTTGCATTAAAGTGCAAACAAATAAAATGAGATAAAACCACCCTTTTAACAAGAAAAAAAGAACATGTTTAAGAATATTTAGGTGAAACAGTATGAACCTAGTTCTAAAAAAAATGCCATGTCCCAAACTTACAAACTCAAAGTCGCCGTCCACAAATGACCTCTGAAACGACCCTCCTGGCATGGGAGGGGTCACGTTCTGCGGAGTGCCATTACTGGTCACTTTGGACTCCGCTTCTTTTTTCTCAAAGTGGTCAAGAAAGGCTGGACGGTACTTTGCCTTCATGTTGGGGTCTGTGTCATGTCCTGAAATGTGGATAAAAAGTCCGGGTTAGGTTTCCTGGACAATCTATCATTACAAATCAAGTGTGGGTTTCGAAGCACTTTTATTAATGTGATTAGTCAAGCGGTGTTTTCATTAAGATAAATAAATGTGCAAATAAATAAATATTAAATAAATTAATAAACTTAACAAGGCAGCAAAGCTGTCAAATGTACAGACAAAAAGCAGGAAATAACAAAATAGGCTACTGTCAATTCTGATGTAAAAGTACATTATGTTAAACTGCAAATTCAACATCAAATTTTAATTATGCTCAACAAGTAATACCAATGTAAGTAAAATGTGTAACAAGCATAAGGTTTCAGGCCCATGAGAGTTCAAGTTCACACTTTGAAAATGTAAAACTTCCAGAAAAAGAAGTCAATTAGACTGCTTTTCCAACTCGAGCTGCATTTTAGTCCTGTGTTTCTTTTTTAAAAGTTTGACAATCATAAGTAATATGGTTTTCCCATGATGGTCATCATGGCAGCAATACCCAAAATTGTGTTTTCTTCTATTTTGATGCAATATTTCATAATGCTTAACA